GGTAGATGCGAAGCCGCCAGCATCGTCCTACCCATGTCGCTGATCGTGCGGTTGAGTCTTTCTGCGACTCCGTTTTGTTCTGGTTCGTATGGATTAGAGTGTTCGTGTACAATACCCTTTCCTTTCAGCCAATTTGCAAAAGTTGTCTTAACGTATTCACCTCCACCATCCGTCCTTACATGCTTGACCTTATATCCTGTCTCACGTTCCCATTTGTTGATGATTTTCGTGAAAGTATCAGGTACGTCTGATTTGTTCTTGATGATGACGATATCGGAGTAAGTCGTAGCCACATCCCTGAAAGTTACCGTGAACCGATTTCCGCTCACATCCTCTGGAAAGGGACCCATGACATCAGAAACAATGACATCGAGTAGCCCATATTCCCGGCCGGTTCGTCCCAGTTTTTGTTGTCGAGTACTTTTGCACGTGAGGCAATCTTCGCAAGTGAAATCAGCAGATGGGATTGAAGATGGTAAACCCATCCCCATTTGCTCGGCACATAGCTTTCGTATACGTTTCATATCCACATGACCAAAACGTCGATGCCACATATATGCAACATCCTCCACTTTCTGTTGACTACTCATGGCACTTATTCTTCCAACTCTCTCAGGCTCTACATTTGGGATGATGACAGGTTTCATTGCGTGTATAATCCAGCGACGATCAGAATAAGAAGCAACAATTGATTTTTTAGAAGGTGTTCGGATTACAACGTGATTATCCCAGAACCATAGCTTTGCACCACTCTCCACCAACGCCGCTTGAGATATAAGTGTGCCGGTGGCTTGAGGACTGTAGTAGACGTCGTGGATGATGTGATCGGTTCCTTCTTCCGTCTTCACTCTGAGTGATCCTTTTCCTACTATGGAAGCGGAATCCCCATGAGCTGCCGTTTTCATTTTGATTGGAGTGGGGAGGGGAGTGTAATTGATCAGTGATTTAATGGCATTGCTCACATGGTGTGTAGCGCCACTGTCCAGAAGATATTCTGGATAACTTTCGTCGAGTTCGTTTCCTTCAGCACTCCATGCCACAGTTGATGCCGAGATTTGGGACGGTTGTGCTGATGAGGATGAAAGTGCTGGTTCTTCGACTTCTGCTGCTCGAGCCGAAATTTGCGGGGGATAAAGACCGAGAGAGATGATGCTATACCACCTATTGTTGGTACATTTGCGCCAGTCGTAGAAATGCGGCGCTGAACGCGGGACACCACGTTTATCCAGAGGACAAACGCTCTTGCCATGACCAAAAGCTGCGCAGTGAAAACATTGCCAGACGCCACTGTGACATTCCTTCGCCGCACGTGGTCCTGGAACGATTCTCTCCTTCTCCGATGCCGTTCTTTCCTCCAACGTCGTTATCGGGCCGGGTGGTGTCTGACGGTTACTACGTGACGATTGATGGGGGGGAGGTGATTGGAAATGGGGAGTCTGGTAAGCGTTTGGAGTAGCAGCCGGACCATGAACTGTCGAACGATTTGGCGTCCATGAAGAAGGATTCATAGTACAATCGAATGAGGCTGCCAAAGCTTGAACGTTTTTGTTTTTGTTCACTGTCTTACGAGTTAGGATCAGGTTTGACAAAGCAGTTCGTATCTCCGCAGATGAGAATTGAGATTTGTCGGTGCGGTATCGTGTGTCGAGAGTTGAATTGAGTACGTCCATCCCGTATTCACCGGTAGTAGGAGAGCAAAGTTGATAGATCATTCCTTTTACAGTATCCTCCTCCCATTTGAAACCAACAGATTTGAGGCGTTCGAAATCCTTATTAACTTGATTTACAAAAGTCATGAGATCCATCGTACCAGCATCACATTTTCTTAACATGATTGACCTAAACACCACATATTGGGCTGTGCGACCACCTTGTTGAAATAAATCCTCCAAGGTAGCCATTGCGTCATGAGCTAGACGTTTGCCGGAGATCATATCCTTGAGTTCTTCGCTGATTGTCGAGTTGATCACTCTACAAGCACACTTATCGATAGCCATCTCAACGTTAGAGTTCTCGTCAGGCTTATCCGCAGTCCAGTAGTCAGAGATGTTGGTCATGTCGTAGATAGCCGTGGCCGTGCGTAGTTTCCATCTTGCAAGATTGCTTCCATCTAATTCAAGTTTGTCGATTCCGCTGATAAATTTGTTTACGTCTTTATGATTATCGAGAAGAGATTTTAAACGATCTGGCGTGGGAGTAGAATCGGTCATCGTGAACGTGTTTTCGAATTCGTCTTCGTTGGTTGATTGACGGTTGTGAGTACGAATGTGAGGTAAGTTACGTGTTGTGATATTGGATTGGAATGGAGGTGGTTGATTTAACAAGAAATTTGATGGAGGGGGTTTAACGAAGATGTTCTTGGGAGTACCCTGATCTGATTCTGGAGTAGCTTCTCGAGTTAGCGTCTGTTGTTCTTCAGGATTGATTGATGCTGATCTTGAACGTGACTGTGATCGAGTTTGAGCTCCTATCTGCGACGTGGATTGCAACTTCTTTGGTGGAGTTCGAGGTATTGACATAGATTCGGATGCCGATGGCGGTCGGTCTTACACTATGAGCTTCAGCGAGAAAAAACGTACAAAAGACAGCGCTGCTCATAACCTATAGCGAATAGGACGACGGACACGTCAGTTCTCTCTCCAAGGAGTTGGCTTCCACACAGATGATGATATATTACCTATAGCGAATAGGACGACGGACACGTCAGTTCTCTCTCCAAGGAGTTGGCTTCCACACAGATGATGATGTGGAAGCTTCGGCCGAGGAGGAGAGACTACATCTACTAGAACTGTACAACGATCACGTGACTGGCTGAGGCGCAGTCGTGCACGCACACACCTCTCTACAACAGATAGCCGGTGGATTAGTATTCCCATTGGAATTATTCGAAGACTGTAAGATTCCCATCACGATATTCGATCCATCACGTCGTTTTTGTCGTTCGACATAAAGCTCTTGAACTTCTCGTTCTTTAGAATTGAATAGTGTATGAAGATTATAAAGTGAATCAATGGGTAACCCACCAAATCCACTTAACGAGATCTCATTAATCAATTTTTCAAATTGTATTAATAAATTCTTTTATTAATAAATTCTTTAATCTTTCAAACGTTAGAGTAGGTGATGGATCTGAAGTATACATCTGTTCACTTTTCTTGTGTTATCAAAGAACCCCCCAAAGATCCATATTGCGTTTCATTAAGGTGCTGCAGCCATTGTAGTAATGACTTCTATGCTTATATATGGTTCCTGCTGTGTACGTCTCTTGATATATCTCACCCATTCTTGGAGACACACAGCTTTTTTGTGCACCCAAACTGTAGAGCCAGAATTTGGCATTCAGAATGTCAAGACACTACATGTGTTGGAGCAAAATTGATGATTTTGTTGGTGTTGCAAGGTCACTGTCTCTCTACCTGCCAGTTTTGGACCAAAATTGGGTTTCTGATATTATTTGTATTGTGGTTGTAAAAATATGAAAAATATGCTAGATGATTGGAATGCACCAAAGGGTCCAACCAATATTTTTCATATTTTTCTGACCCCTCCCAGCTTTTCCAATTTTTTTTTATGTCTGCTCAATTTTCTAAACTCAGCGGTAAATTTTCAATTTGGTGTAGTGTTAAATTGATCAAAAATTAAGATTGTGTGTGTCAGAGTAGTATCCTGATTATAAAACTTCCAAAGATTCTGTAGAATAAATCCTCATCATTTCTCTAATTTGTCTGCCTCTCCGTGGGACAACATGATTCACAACTGAAGTTGATTCCAAAGTTTTTGGGTCTGTCAACATACTGTGTGGGTGTGAGTTCACTTAATTATTCTGGATCAAACTTGATGTCCTCAGGGCGGCGCCCGCCACTGAATTTGTAGTTCAAAGTTAAAGGAACAGGAGATGGAACATAGTCTGAGGAGGGGGTAATGGTGGCAAAAAAGGCAGTTTTTTCAGCTTGCAAGGCTGATACTCCCCACCCGCTAGATTGTGATCTGGCACATGCGGGTCTGGTTCAAATGTCACACCTGGTAAGATATTGCAACACCTCGGTGGAATGAAACTTCCCTTGGAATATGACTTATTTATAGAATTAATTGTAATGGTGAAATGGTTTGAAGTTGATGAAAAGTGCTAGAATGATATCCCTATTGAATTTTTACAAATCAAATGCGCTTACCAACAAACAATCCCAAATCAAAATGTGGTGATGAGTTAGGTACATCTTGGGACATCACATTGAGTGAAATTTTACAATCAAAGTTGATCAATCCCCGCGCGTTTTATTGGGCATCTTCCCTTGAAAACAATGTCTCAACGGGCCTACACCTGTTGGAGGGGAAAGTGTTGTGTAAATTTTCATGATTATAAAAAGTTTGGACTTTTCTTGCTCAACATCATATCCCACAGAGTCAAACTCAATTCCTTCCCTTTTGCTTCCAATTATTTGTTCATAAGCTCATACTATATCTCTAAAATCTTGTCAAATTTAGAGCTCAATATATACATAAGTTCTAGCTACAAGAGTTGATTTTGGTCAGTATTTTTTGAGTTTTCCCAAAATTCTGCTCTCTCTTCCTCTCCTTCTAAGATAATTTCACTTGTTAGGCAGATGAGATATCAATTTGCCTCAGTTCCCTCATATTCTTTCCCATAAAATCTGCTCTTTGTGTCTATCCTTCTACTATACACCAACACTCTTTCACTTGTTAGAACTTGGGCAGTCATCAAATATCAACTTTGCTTAGATCCCTAATATTCTTCTCTGAGATATTTTTACAACCTTGATATACCCTACTTCATCTGCTGGTCCAAAGAGATGATCAGTTTCTTCCATTCCCCTACATCTGGTGATCTCAATAAAACTCTAGTCCTTTCCCATGTTCAGTTCCTAATCTATAAAATTGATTAGGAGCTTTAAATATGATCAAGTTTTGGTGCTAACATTATCTGTGTATTCAACAGCCTACCCAAGATGAGATTTCGACAGATCTTTGTTACAATCAATATGTTGATGGACCACACTGCTTCTGGTGCCATGATTCCTCAACTTGATAGGGCCAGCTTTGCCACGCAAACTGGATTAGCTAGCCCAGCACCTCATGCACCCAGTGATGTGGTCTACCCACTCATCACTCAAGCACACAATCAAAAATTGGAATATGCAGCTCAAATGAAAGCAGGGGCAGAACAGCAGTATCAACCTACAACTGGTCACATCTATAATAATAGAAAATTGCAGGAGGGAATTTACAATACACCCCCAATTTTGCCTGGGAGTGTTGGTTATGCACCACCAGATGATAGTTCATCCGGTGTATCCATGAACAAAATCATACTAGGAGTAGTTGGGGGTTCATTAGCTTTATTGTCTGGTGTAATTGCCTGCCTCTGTATCAAAAAAAAATCAAGGTATGAGACTTCATCTTCAATTTATCCTTGCAAATATCATGACCAACATTTGTTTTGTGCATAATTAGGGATAACGACCCATGTTCACAATATGACTCAGACCCTAATGAGGTGCACACATGTGAGCTAGGCCGAGCAAAACACTGAAGACACCCAAACAAAACTTCAAAGCATATCAAAGAAGAGAGCTAAATGGAATCTATAGAACCTCATATTTTCTTTCACATGTCCTTATAAGGATGAATATTATTGGTAACTCACTCCTTCTGTACCGATTTCATTCTTTCTAGAATTCCCAAATTTTCTGTCTAGTCCACTTTCTCAAAACCTTATCAGATTGAATGTTTTTGGTAATTCACTCCTTTTGTACCAATTTTATCTTATCTTGAATGCCCAGCTTTCCAGTAAAGTGTGCTTTATAAAAGCTTTATGAGTTCAATTGTTCCACTGCTAGTCATCTTTTTATCTCTTGTCCCCATTTTTGCAAGTACTATGCACTGCATCCACCACCTCCAAACTTGATGTTGATCAGAAGGGTAAATAGTCTCAATTTGCTTCAACTCTGTTTTGATTTTGCTTTGACATAGTAACAATACTGAGTATCCCAGTTAACAAAGACTGAGAGATGCCATGATTGATTGATCAGGAGCTTCTGAGGGTTAGGATATCCCTCATCAATTTTCACCAACTGCTGTGAGCTTGTGATCTTTCAATTTGCTCCCACAGTCTTCTATCATTCATTTTCATTCACTTGATCTATCCATTTACTCTTATGCAATTCACACTTACCCTCAGATTTATTTGTCTTTGGTCAAATTGATCTTTGGCATTTGCCTTCACTCATTTTACAGCATTTTTTGTGCTCTTCACAAACTACTTCCTACCCACAGATTAATAAGTAGTATTTGTTGCGAAAAGGTCTTGAGTACATCTTCTAGCTTTCCTTACCCTGATTGTGTGTTCTTCACAGCACCCGTGGAGAGTGCCCCTGTCAGCCTCAAGCTTTGACAAAGTCAAAGCCAAGAGAGCTTCCACAAGAATATTGATTCTTCTGGAAAAATGATAAAAAACACCATGAATTATATTAACACCTTTGCCTCTAGTTTCAAATACCACAAAAAATGCTTGCCAGTGAACCACAAGAAATGTAAAATGGGAACCCACTCCGTCTACTTCTATTACACTAGCACAACTATTACAACACAATAAACTCATACATAACACCTTAGAGTCTAGTTTCAAAGACCACAAATCAAGTCCACATCCAGGGGACTCAGAACACCTTTTCAAACCAAACTAGAAAGCAACCATGACCTTAGAACATATTCTTTTGTTTCCATACCTTGTGCACCGCTAACGAATTTGCCTCAGATTGGCAAGTCCAAGGTATCCTTGGCTCTCAAACCTTGGACAGAAACATTCCAAGGTTTTCATCCAAGGTATTGTTCAAAGCATAAAAATACCTCGGAAAAAAACCTCAGACAAGATCTATAAATTCTAGTTGTAGTTTGTGTCTTGAGATTCTTAAGAATCAGAGTCTTGACTGCTAAAGATCTGTGTGTAGTTCAGAGAAGGAAACCTGAGGGCACAGGAATATGCGTAAGACTACAGCGGAACAAGCTAGTCTACGACAATGATCAAGCACTGACCTGAGGGCACAGGAATCTGTGTAAGACTACAGCGGAACAAGCTAGTCTACGACAATGATCAAGCACTGACCTGCGAGCTCGAAAGGAATCGTGAGGAGCACGCGTAGAAGGTATTAGATAAACAGAAATAATAATTGAATTCTAGGTCAAGAGTTGTGATGTTAGTAACGGTGGAAAATAGAAAAAAAGAAAGACAGCAGTGAAAAAGCTACGATGCTACATATCACAGATACCTCATAGTGTAGTCCACGTTGTACGGCGAGAGCCTCTCTTTCTTCTTCATCCGACAATTTGCATTACTAGGATAGATATACGGAAGAACTCCTTAACCCTCCGTCAGAACCAAACCCCGAGAGCAGTCCTAACACGCTGCGGGTTTGCCGCTGGATGTGACATCAGGGAAGCCCATGAGACACTCTGGGCTTTTACACCAACTTATATGAGTACAACTTGAAACAAGTTGGACTAAAAGTCTCTTACATAAATTGATAGTGAAAAATTAATTTCAGAACACAGGTTTAATAAATTGGGTTATGAATCAATAGAAAGATTTAAATGAATTGATGAAAGATCATATGAAGCTTGCAACATTTTTAAGCAAAGTTTTGGTATCAAAAAAATCATTCCATCTGTGCATGTGTGAATGCGCAGCATTATCTGGATTCTGACTAATTCAGTTGAACAGAATGCACAAGTTGCTTCAGGGTATTCATGAAGGGAGTGTGGTGGATATCATGTTCCAACTCAAATAGTGCCTCCTTGCTGCACTTGTAACCTTGCTCAGAACAGCTTTACTTCAATTTCTGTATTTGAATTGTTCCCTGGTCATTTATCTCCACCTTTGATCTTTTTCTTTTCTTCAACTTCCAAAATTTGTTTCTGAGCTGAGATATTACTCCCATATAGAATATTATTGATTGGTGGGTAATGATTCCATGCTCCCAGATCAACAACCCCTTGCACTTCCAATATCTTTCATTATAGTTGTGGAACATTTTCAGATCTCTTATTACTAGTCTTTTCCTTTTGACAGAAATCACCCCAGACCTTCATAAATCTTTTCTACATTGGCTGTGACCCAGTCACTAAGTGTGAACACATCTTCTGATCTAAACCAGTCAGCTCATATTCTCTCATATTGATCTGCTATTCTCAAAGTTGGATGTCCTGTCCGGGGGAGGTTTTTGAGATTGCTACTCTTGGGTGCTGACATCTTGACATGATAGCCACCACAGGATGAAATTTGGACAGACTTTCATTTCTATCAATCTCTTGATGGATCACCAGGTATCTGGTGCATTTATCAATCTCCTAAACTTGGAACACAATGCAAGACCTAATGAATTAGCTAGTCAAGAAGCTTTTGGATCAAGTGGAGTGGTATTATCAGCAGCAGGTATCCAATTGAAAGAAAATATGGAATCTGCAAAACAGATTGCTGCACAGGCACAGAAGGCTTATGGGCCAGCTCCTCAAATTTATCACAGAAGATTGGGGAAGGGTTTTAGTGAGAAATTCATTGCTGAAGCACCTAGCAATCAATTTGAGACTGCACCAGCACCATCCATCATTGCCAAAGAACTTTCAATACAACCAGAACATTATAAATCTCTTCCCCTCTGGGAAAAATTGTCAATTGGTAGTGGAGCAGCATTGGCTTTCTGTGCAACATTCCTTGCTATACGTCGGAAAGTGAAAAATGAATCAAAGGTATGAGTGGTTGCTTTTAATTTATTACCAGAAATACATACTGATAAATTCTGGGATAGAATGGATCCACCGCATGGTAAGGAGATCCAGGGCCGTAAATTGTCACAATTTGCCACACAATTTACAGTGCTATGATTATGTCTTGAGGAAGTATGTGTATCTGTGATATACATGGATTCGGTAATACTAAGAGGCTGAGGTAGTTGCATGGTATACTAAGCTATTATCTATGTAATTCAGCTCTTTCTCTGAGACATTTACTGCCTAATTCAGATGTAAAGGCTCAGGAAATATAGTATGGTTGATTGTCTTTTTTTGTTCCAGATCTGTGTGATTTATGGGTACTTTGAGTTTCTGCTTACCTTTTCCATCACCAGTCTTTGAATCAGGTTGTATGTTGAATTGCCATGCTATTATAGCTCCTTTATCTTCTCACCGGCTATGTGGAGCTGATTGACCTCAACCGTGGTCAGCCTTTGCTGTTTCTCAGAAGTAAATTGCAGCTTCCTTGATTTCATCTGTCAGACTCTCTAAAAAGTCTATATGCCTCAAGGATGCATGCCAATGCTTTGAAAGCTAGTACTCAGTGGGTTTAGAACTGTCAATACATATCTACCAAGATCCAACAGCACTTTGGCACAGAAGTTTGTTTGATAGTTTCTTGTTGTACATATGGCACAGCTGTGCAGATGTCTGCATAATTGATTGTGTCAAATGAGAGCACCTGTCCCAGCACACTCGTCATATAGCTGTTGTGCATATCAGGTTGACATTGAATTGTCAAATTACATCCACACAATCGCGTCTGAAAGAGTTCACATCCTATCACCATAAAACCCAGATACCAGACTAGATATGCAAGATAAATTTGTGTCCTGGTTGCAAAGCCTGCGAATCAAACTTACCTGATATCAATTCAGCAAGGATAGAAATGGCTTTTTGATCCAGATTGATGATAAGATTCAGATTTCGAAATTTACATCTGTACCCTCCGTGGAAAGATATTGTCCAACACAACAACAATAACTGTATCACTCATTCTTGACGCCGTGGTCGTTTTTATTGAGCAGACCTGTCAAATACACCGAAAAATATCATTTCAAAAAACGAGCCTCAAACCAAAGAAAGTAGTTTTTTGGCCAAACCCTTTTGCGTATGTTAGTCTAAAAATCGGTTTTATTCTTTCATTGTTTTTGACTGAATCAATATCATATCCAATACAGATACCAGTAAACAAGAAGGAAACCAAAAAATCAAAGAATATGATAAAAATAGGATGAAGACTTACGTAAGAAAGACGTTAGAGAAGTAGCTGAATCGGACTCGGAGATAAGATAACTGTAGGAAATCAAATATAAAGCAACATCAAAGAAAGATTATCAGTTTTAAGAATCAAGCAGAAGATGAAGATGAATAAAAATAAAGAAAGCAAAAGAAATAGGTTCCCAAAGAAGAAGCAACCGAAGGATTTAAATCTGTGATTGAAAATGACAAAAGATGAGACTTATATTGATTGGGCAGACTACAAACAAAAGAACGCTGAAGAATTTAATTCGAAGGAACAGGAGAAGCCAGCGGATAACAGTTTGAAAGAAGAAGATAGAAAATGAATAGCCATGCAGATTGTTTAAAAAAGTCAATAAAGCCTTTTAGAGACCAAGCTCTATGAAAAAAGAGCACAAGCTATTACATGGTGAAAATGGTGGTGATCCCTCAATATTCAATATATGGCGGTATAAGATCTTTCCACTGCTTAATTTTTGTTCTCTTCCATAGAAATTCTATCTGATTCTGACGAAGAGAAAAAAACCATTCGACAAAAAAGCTCCTATGTATAAAAACTGCTTCAGACCTCGAGGATTGAGATTGATTATTACCTTGAAAAAAATTCTCGGCTGGCTGAAATATACCTTCTCATCAAGATAACACTTTGTTATCTTTAATTGTTTCTTCTTTTCAATAGCTAGACTAATTTATTCAAACATCAATTGCAATCCTTGAGATCCTCAAATTAGATCAACTATGCTATCATTTCGCTTTATCTCTGCTATGATCTTATTCACTTCCTTCTTGACCTATCACCCATCTCTAACTCTCACTCCAAGAGGTGAAGATGGATTCAAAGATCTTAGAGATAAGGTCGAACTATTCCGACGTGGTTTAGATTCTCGCTTCTCCCGTCTGAGATGGATGTGATTAAAGCGGTCCATAGGTGGAATAGACCAAAATGATCATCAGATGGAAGAGATAGGTGATCAATATATACAAAACGGTCCTTGAATCCTATGGACTCAAACCTTCAAGATACGGTTCGAGAGTCAAGCGTCTTGTCTCGAGTAAATGAACGATCAATCAATCAAATCAACATGAAAGAAGAACAAGTATCTACTTCAGGCACCAATCATCAATCAACGTGATATGTTATCTAAATCCTACTTTATTCTACACAGTTCAAGTCAAGCTGAAGAGGTCTTTGTCTAATTGTTCAATGCTTAAAAGTACTTTGATTAGGTAAATCTAAGCTTGATCTTTTTGTTCATATTTATCCTCTGTTCAACGGCACATCGTGCTAACCAATGATTCTTTCCATACCAGAATATATCTTAGCTTAACCAAATTTTATTCTTTTCGAAACCAAACAAATCAAGCAATCCCTACTCTTTTTTATCCCAATTTGCCACAAATGCCTTCATCATCCACATGTCTCTGAGTTATATTATCCATCTTCTCACGACGTTTTTTATCACTTTTTTATTTCTACATGATTAATATTATCTGAACTCTAGTCAATTTTATAAGCGCTGGCGTATGCTTTTAAGTACTTGTTTTGTTGATCTCTTAACTTGAAAACGGTTATGTTTGGTCTGAGGAGTTTTTGCATGTGTTCAATAGTGTTCTCTATAAGTGCTGAAGTATAAGTGCTGAAGACTTAGTATCATCGCTTGTTATTTCGCGAGGCTTGATTGTACGTTGATCCATACACATCTGGTATATGTACAAGCACGAGATTTTAAATCAACGAAGTCCTCTACATCATACATGTGCAACATGTCATCCATCATAAAGGCGTGGTGAAGGACCACACAGAAAAGTGTGAATTGCATTTCGTTTTCAAGAATCACGGTCAAGGCCTGACCCTGGATAGATTCTTCACCTCTTTCAAAATGGTCTGCTTCCACTACCAGATCTAGGATTAAAGATTGTGATACCTCATTAGAATATATTGGAGAAGAGCTTCAAAGAATATGTAATTGAAAGCTTCAAGTATATCAACCAAAATGAGCCTCCAAGAAATTAGGTATTGAATTTCAGCATCCATTCACAAAGTACACTTAGAAAACAGTAAGTAAGAGTTTAAGAATCGAAACTTTCCCCCCATAAGTTCTTTCAAAAAAAAATCTTCTTGAAGGTCACAAATACAAAGTGAACATGTATCTTCCTATCTTTCTAGTCCTATATATTGTTACAACTTTTGATGATTTTTTCTCTTCTTTTTACGAATTTGAAATACATTCAATTTAAGAATCAACCAATTGAAAACCAAATAAGTCAAAAAAAAGAACGTAAACTGAAGAAAACTTACATCAAGAGTTTAAAAATTTCATCGTTTCTTACGAGCTGCAGCTTTTTCAGCAGCTTCTTTATCTTTGGCTATCATTCATCCAAGAAACACGCACAGTCAATTTCAGATCAAAATTCAAACCGAAAGAAGGAAAAAAGATCACAAACCCTCAGCTTCTGCTTTCCTTACTGCTGCTGCATGTTCTCTTTGTTCACGAATTTTAGCGAGTCTTGCTAAATCGACCTTTGCTTCATCAGTCTTAGAAAAGAAAGAAACGAAAACTTCAATAAGCAAATCTGAAAGGTACATTTTGAAAGATCAAGTTTCTTATCTAACCTTTCCAGCCTCTATTATTGTTAAATTGGACAAGTTGAGAAATCTTAGTCAGTATGAATTGAGTTGAAATTAACCTAAATTAAAACATACGATGTAATTTCCAATATCGTTCTTGTGCCGCTTTCTTTTCAGCTGCCTCTCTAAATTCATCAAAATTATCAACCAAGTCAAAAATCTTATAATCAAAAACCTGATTTGTAAACATCTACAAAAGAACGTACCTTTCTTTACGATTCATAGGACCAGACGCCACTTTTTCAATTTCAGTCACTTTCACCACTTTTTTCTGAGTCCTATTAGAATTAGCCAATTCTTCTAATCCTTCATCTTCGGATCCATCATCCGATTCATTTTTCTTGGCCCCTTTCCCACCTTTCTTTGCTGCTTTACGAGCTGCACGTGCTTCGGCAGTGGTCATAGAACTACTTGATTCATTTGGAACAGCAGTCGAACCGTAATTCGGATTGTTCATTCTTGTAGGTTCTTCTACTTCTGATTCTGAAGATTCAGATCCTTCACTTTCTTCTGAACCTGAACCTGAACCTTCTTCTTGTCCTTCATTATCTTCTAAAGGCTTAAGGTCCCTTGAAAACCTATTTATAAAATCATTGACAGAATTTGAATGTTTTTAGTAATGGAAAACTAAGGAAATGAAGCATGTTTTAAACGGTTTCTGGCACTAACATCTTTCCACCTCCACGTTTAGGTTTTCCAAATTTTCCAGCATTTCGAACCTATTTATAATTCACAATGGAGCAGAACAATCAGGCAAATGAATTCGATGTGCTTGTTAAATCATATGAGCATGGTCTTTCTTACCATTTTGTTGATTGTTCTTTGGTATCTTCTTTTAACTTGATTGATGAATGTCAAATGGTGAAGTTGAGTGTGATGGTGTGAATGTGATTGAGCTTTAGAAGGCCGACTCGGGTAAGTTTGATAATCTCTCTACGTTTGTATGTAAATCTGCAACGTGTTATATGTATGCGGCCAAGCAGGACCCGAGCCCTACCCGAGGTGTAGTAGCCCAACCTCTGAGGGCATGATCGGGGCCATGGTACGATTTGCCTTGTTCAGGAACAGGCACAGTGTCAGTCTTCATTCAGATTCCATCCATCTTCATTTAATATTCTCAACTCATCCCTCATTTACCATCTTCCTCAACACCAATCAATTCTCTTGAAATCTAAACCTTTCTCTCCGACTTATCAACTCCATCTTACCAAATCAAACTTGAATACTTTTGACTTCTTTGATTTACAATTCAACTCAAATTCGAAACTTGAACAAAAGAGAAAAAAATGGCCAACAAATTTCCATCATTACCTGCCCCTAGATTCGCTCCTCAAAAACCATCACCATTAAGTCAAAAAACTGGTAAGTTTTTGAATCATCAGAACAACCTTTGGTCACCTAATTCTAATCCTACGTTTTTTATGATATATATAGTCGATCTTATTAAACCTGAACAACAAATAAAATCAACTTCTTCCTCTGCTGTTACTTCGCCAATCGATACAAAAACTAAAAAGAAATCGAAGAAGAAAGTACAACCAGGTATGACATATCTAAGCAAAAATAACCCCAAACCATTATCAAACTCTTACTAATCAAAGATCTGATCATTTGTTTCGGGACAGTTTCAGTGGCTGCTCTTGATTCTGCTGCACCAGGAAAACAATTTGCAACACAAATTTTCAAACTAGTCGATGCATTAAAAGTAAAACCAAATCATATCCTCCCCTGACCTGGAGAAAAACTCATTCTATTTGATCTGTTTATTCTTAGACCAATGGAGGACCTATGAATTTATCAGATTTAGAAGCAGTAACAGGTGTAAGAGGTTTACTTTCCGAACACACAGATGTACCGTTCAATCCAGACCTTTATGATGCATTCAATAATCATGATCGAGTCAATGTGACTGAAAGAGGTATGGTAAAATTATGGAGTTACAGAGTATGTCATTCCTCTTCCCATCTTTGGTTTAGTTTTCTTGAGCTGATTAAAACCTTTTTTTCTCCGTTTTGACGTTTAGCCTGATTACTTAATCAGTAATCCTCAACAAGTGCTTGAATTACTTCAAAGGTTTTCAAGTAGGGGTGGAATGCCCATCGTCACCTTGAAACAATCTTGGCCAAATGTAATGTCAGCAATCACTGAGGTTAGTTTTCTATCTCTTTATCAATCATTCCAACTTCTCATGAATCGTTCTTGTGTTTGTGTAGCTTGAGAACGAAGGAAAAGTTTTGGTATTCAGAACTGAAGGTTTACCTGGTAAAGAAGGAATGGTCAAAACCGTTTTCTATGATGAATTAGGTTGTAGAGAAAACTTAGGACCTACAAGAGGTGCACTAGATCAAGGTGAGCTCAAACTCCCCTTTCTTCTTTGTCAATTTGATATCAACTAAACGTCTTTTTAATTTCTTAGAATTCAAAGACATGTGGCATTCGCTAGAAACACCACCGATCCATACTTTACCACAAGAATTACAAGAAGCTGGATTAAGTTCATCTAATTCAGAAATCATCAAACCACATATCGTTCAAAAGAAATCTAAAAAGAAAGGTAAAGGTGGTAAAGTTAAAATTACTAATACTCATTTGAAAGACTTGGGGATTGATCTTAGTAAAGATTATGTACCTGTGGGATCTCAGAAAAAATGAAAATCGAATTCAAACTTGAATCTCTTGTTTTTGAAGGATGGTGTGGAGCGTTGGTATTTTGTGTGTTTTTGTAACATTTCTAAATCATAAAAAATAAGTGTTTCCTTTTTTTCTTTTTACATTGTATTTTTTTGTACAATTATGGAGATTCTCTTTTAATCCTTTTTCGCAATTTACAAAACAGTCAGTTATCATGAAGTTTACAAAATGAGTCTATCTTTTTTATTTAGATTTTTCTTCATAAAGTCATGTTGAACAGTAGACATGATGATTTGAATTTAAAATCTGACTAGAATTTGAGTCTGAATGATCTAACACTTATGTCAATGAAGTCATTTTTCTTTGTTGAATCCTCAAGGTTTTCAAAACTCACTCTCTTCTGTTTGATAATTCAGTATTCAGCTCTATAGACTATTGCTGATTTTTTGATTCAAACTTGTTGGTGATTTTGGCCCATATCTATTTGGCCTTGGCCATGAGCCTCCTGGTAATAGTATGGTTGACTCACAGTGAGGTACGATGCAACCTGTTGAAATATGCGGTGATTGTGAAATATGGCCTTTGGGTTAAGCTTACCTTTGTGATGCCCAAAGACCACGTCTCCAGGCCGTAATCCTCTGCAGCACTGCCAACATAGAGGCCTTGGGTTGAGACATGGGAGGAATCATTGAATGTAAATCCTCAGAAAGACCTTGTTCAAGCTTTTTCTCCAAGGTATTCTTCTGCAGTGAGAATGACCTCAGATTAAAACAGAAAGCTTCTGTCCAAGGTTTGGAATCATACCTCAGATTGAAAAATCCATATGTTTACAGTGCGAATGGTCTTCATTTCACGTAAGCTTTTGATTGAGTCAGAAAACACTTCAAGACTGACAAATCTGCACTTACTCTGTGACAATCACAACTCTCAATACTTTAACACAACCTACACATACTTGTTCTTTGGAATCTCTCTCTTGGTTTCAGGAAAGTGCTACAGAAAAACTCAAAAAATTTAGGAATACAAAGTAGAAACCTAGAGGATTTCACAAGTTTCCAAGTTTCCCCATTCACAACTGGGAAACTTGGTAAGGAGATCGAGAGCCCTAGAATTTGAGCTCAATGTTCTCAAAACTTTGCCCCACAACACCACATTGACCATAACATTAAATCTCAGTAAACACACCACAGAACCATGTATTGCCTGACTACAAGTCAAATCAAGGGAAGATTTAAGCACAACTTGTATGTAGTCAATTCCCCTTGTTCTCAGTTGCTCTCAGTCATTCTCAAATAACACTGGAGAATTGGCCCCATAAACACATAGAGGAAAGACATGAACAAAGAACTGAAGATTGTGTTCAATTCAAGATGATCAAGGGTCTTGTAAAGGATGGGTTTGTTTCCTTACACCTGGCTTTTGAAATTTCTGTTGGATCTACAAGTAAGAGCTGAAGTTGAAAGTGTATTGAAATTGTACTTGAAACCTGAAGTCGAATGTGTGATTTCAAGTCTGTTTTGACCAAAAAAATCATGGGTAATGAGATTTCAAGTCGGTCTGTGAAACTCAAAAGATGGTTGAAATCAATTGATCAACATCATTTTTTCATGATTTGCAAGAGAAGAATAAGCAACATTGATCATTAGATTTCATTCCTTTAGTTCTGTTTTTAGTGATAAATAATGGGAGGAGAAGAGCATACATCTTGCTTTGCTCATAATTCAAAATCAATTGACAGGAAAGACCAAGTGTTGTTGTTGATTCAATCTTCAACACAAGGCATAGTTGAAGGTGGTGGTTGTGAATTAAGAATTAGGATGGAGGTGTGAGGTGTGAGGTGTGACTGGGTTAGTCAAGATCACACTCAACATGAAGTTGGAATGGAAGTGAGGTGAAGATTTGTCTGATCATGGATTCAAAGTTGAAAAAAACTGTGAACAGTCACCCAGTTTCCAAGCTTCACTACAGCCAAAAAGTCCAAGTTGGGAAACTTGAAAAAAGCTGGGTTTCTTTGGGCTCAGTGTTCTATTAACCTAGTGGAATATGGTGAAGTGTTGCAATAGAAAGGCTATAGTTGTATTAAAATTCACACCCAATTATCTATGAAGTTTAGGGATCCATGCCATGGGTTATATCAAGATGTCAGCTAGATTCACCTATAGGTAATTATCCAGCTGAAGTTAGGCAAAACTTTTTTCAATCTCTCCTTCCCAAATAATTTTCTTCTCACTTATTCTCATCTTTGATATCAAGCTTCTTAGGCACACTCAATAGTGGTTTTGCTAGAATTTTCATAACTAGCCAATTTTTATTTTCCTGCCCTCCCTCACCTGTGTAGTGTTTCTACCAGATAGTCTCAAATTTGTGTAGTTTTATTTCTCTTTTTCTTTTCATTTTCTAATTGTTTGTTTTAATGGGGCGCTATTGTGTTTTTTGTCTCCGTATCTTTTGCTGTTTCTGGTTCTTTGCTTCTGTTTTTTTTCAGTTTGCTGTATATTTTTTCATGTGTTTTGTATTTTGCTTTGTTCTCAGGAAGTGGTTACAGGTTGTGTTTCAGGCCTCAGGCTTCCGCTTCCCCATAAGGGCTGACTTGTCTGCTTCATACTGTTTGCTTTTCTCTCTAGTTTCTCATGTTGCAATTTCTATTTTGGTTTTGTGCCACTGCTACATGTACAGCTCATTACCTATAATAGTGGTCTTCAAAACTCGTGTTCGGTGTCCCAGAAGTGTCCAGAAGTGACATCCAGAACCTTCTGGGACACCTCCAAGATGTTTTTGGGTTTTTGAGGTTTCTGGGCTTCAGAAGCATCTTCACACCTGTGTGTTCATAACCAACGGACCCTCCTCAAATCTCCCACCACTTTACATTCAAACACCACAGCATCCACTGTACCCATCACTCACCCATCAATCCTCACTTGCTCCTGTGTTTCTTTCTCCAGAGGTCTCATCAATCATCACACCACATATCTATAAGTGCTCATTCTCAATTATACCTTTCATTTCATTTTCATTTCAAAGCTATATAAGCCATACCTAAATGCAATCTTTTATACCAATGTGGATATGACAAGATACAACAAACAAATCACTTTTGAAAGATGGAATAGGGAGGGTGGCAAAGTTAGTTGTTGAAATTTGATTGATTGTTAGATTTTGAATCAATTGTGAACTTTTGATCTATCGTTGGATTCCGGTAGATTGTTGGATTTTGATCGATTGTTCAATTTTAATCAATTGTTCAATTTTAATCAATTGTTTGACTTTGATCGATTATTTGAATGATTGATTGTTTTACTTGAATTCTGATTCAATGTGATTGTTTTTCTTGAAGTGATTGAGCAAACAAAAGGTGAGATGAATTGATGGCAAAAGCAATTTTCAAATTAGAAACAAAGCAACCATGGACAAGATGAATAAGAGAATGACTGACACAAATAGTTGGACAGATAGCTCCTCCATGAGATTGGTACAAAGACTGAGTTGATTCCTTGAAGTGTTGTATGGCAATGGCAGTCAAAGTTTGTCATTTGCAGAGTGGGAAGTGAGATGATAGTCACCTGCTAAGAGGCGTTTGTGGCAAGACAGAAGGGAGGGGATGGGGATGGGGGAATAGTCACGCTCTCAAATCTATCAAGAAAGGTTCAGAAGTGACATCCAAAAACATTTTGGAGGTGTCCCAGAAGTTTCTGGATGTCACTTCTTGACACTTCTGGGACACAAAACACGAGTTTTGAAGACCACTAATATACGTCCAAATACCTAACTTAACTAAGTCCCTCTCGGACGAACGAGTAGTCGAGAGAGGGACTTATACCTTATACCACAACTTTGGCGTATGAGCCGGAGAAGTTTGGCTGGGCACCTTTTCAATCTTCTATATCTCTATAGCCTACAAACAAATATCCTCTGTACCAAAGAAAAGTCCTCTGCGCCTGATCATCTTACACACGCACATCTTTTCAAATCCCTTCTTTGCCGCCAGGGAAGCCCTTAAAAACCGACTTGAAAAATTGTTTTTGTGTAACATTTCAGCGCGTTTGGTGTGAGCTTTTGACAGGCTGGACAGCTTTCTGTCCGATTTTGGTGATTTTTGCAAACTTCACAATTGCATTGCTCCGTGAGTTCTCAATCAAATTAGATGTAGGCTACACACATGTGTGTAGATTAAGCAGGCGCATAGCTCTTTTCTTTGGTCCCAAGGACATTTGTTTGCAGGATCCACAGATATGGCGCATTGAAAAAGTCCCCAGCCAAATGTTTCCGGCTCATCCGCCAAAGATGTGGTATAAGGTATAAGTCCCTCTCTCGACTACTCGTTTGTCCGAGAGGGACTTAGTCTCGACTACTCGTTCGTCCGAGAGGGACTTAGTTAAGTTAGTCCAAATACTAAGTGCTGATTGGTCAATGATAGTGAACCTATTCCACTTTGATAAATGTGTTTACATGTAACATCTCAGCTTGCAGCTTTTGACAGGTTGAACAGGTTGCTCAGAGATTTTGGTCTTGTTTGCAAACTTCAACCTTCCATTGCTTTGCAATCATTGCATCAAATACACAATCATCCATGTGAATGTATGCAGGTTGAGCAGACACACAATACCTTGCTTTGATCAAAAGACTGTTTATTTGTAGGGTAAAAAGTTATGACAGGTTTATAAACGCCCCAGCCATAAGTTTCTTGCTCACAGGCCAAATTTTGTGGATAGCTCATAAGTCCCTCTTTTGCAGGCTCACTCGCCGAGAGACTCTTTTAGGTTATATATAGAAATAAATTTCCCATCATTCATCTTTCATCCCAATTTTAAGAACCAATTCATTTCAGTCATCACCATCTTTTGTTTTTTTTACATTTCTCTTTTTTGAAATCACACAGTCAAAACAATCTTTCAATATCCTACACACATCATCATATTCCTTTGAATTCATTCAACTTTTGTAATCATTCTTACACAACCCCAAATCAAGAGTAAATCTTCCAAAAACACTCGGGAAGAAAACCCGATTTAGAGCTTGTTGATAAAGCCAACACCCTGCGAAAAATTAAAAAAAGTGAACATCAGGTAACAATTTGACAAAAAAAGTTGAATTAATGTAAAGTTACCTTGGAGATGTTACCCTTAAGTTCAGCAATGCAAGTTTTAAGCATTTCTTGTTCAAGAGAAGAAAGGTTTCCGATTGGCAAGACTTTTTCAACCCCATTGCTCTATGAACCAAAGTCATCATCAGTGAAATTTCATGAAATTTCGAGGTCTGAGTCATCAATGGATTTTCACTTACTCCAAGTTCAATTGGAACTGCAAAATACCCAAGTCCCTCCACCACACTGGCAATATGAGCTTCAGATTGAACAGCAATATAAGCCATCTCTGTCACTCCAGTCTTTCCTTCCCATTTAGCTTTGATCAAACTGTCGGCAAATCGGAAACCAGCGTAAGCCATACTCAAGGTAGCACTACCTTTCCCTTCTTTAGCTTCGACGACTTCATCCCCACCAAATTGGATTCGATTGATAAGTTCCTTAAGTTTGGTTTCATCTGATAAGATAGATGATGGTAGGGATGGAGAGGATTGCGATAAGAGTGGTAGGATCGTGTGACCCGAATGACCACCGATCACTGGGACCTTGTATTGGTGTGCTTTTTCGGGTTGACCTGCTACTTCAGCTGTGAAGGCAGATGCTCTTACTACATCGAGTGTGGTAACACCGAACAATCTAGAGTTTACGCGTCATCAAAATTAGATATTTCTCAAATTTTCATCGGTTCATGGGAGAAGTCTTACCTCTTAGGGTCAAAGACACCAGCCTTCTTGAAGACTTCGGCCACAACCGGAACAGTCGAATTCACTGGATTAGAAATCACCAAGATAAAAGCCTTTGGACAATGAGCCACCATTCCATTGGCCAAGTCTCTTACGATCCCTGCATTAATCTAGCAAAGAGACATGAATAAGATTATATGAACGGAATTAAGTTTTCGAGATTCGGAAAGAGACTAACATTGAACAAATCATCTCGGGTCATTCCGGGCTTTCGAGGTACACCTGCAGGGATGACGACCAAATCGGCTCCTTTGAGAGCCTTCGATAATCCTTCGTCATCCGCCGAGTAACCACAAACTGTGCTAGGGGTATTGATATGAGCAATCTGTTTCAAACATCCCATTCATCAACTTTCGTCCGCATCGACGTGATTGAGATTATGACTGGATGACGTCATGCTTACATCTACCGCCACTCCCTTTACCATAGTTGCCACATCGAATAAAGCCAATTCAGTGATATGAGGGTTTTGCTAAAGATAACCCGATCGGTTAGTCTATTGAACTTGTCTCATCAGAACTTCTTGAATTCAAAAGCTCACCTTGAGTAACAGTGACAAGGGTTGGCCAATGCCTGAGATCAGATTGAAAAGAAATGAAGTTATTCAGCCAATTGATCGGGATGGAAGTCTAGATTTTGAGATATCAAGTTAAACTGACCACCGGCAGCACCCAAAACAGCTACTTTGAGAGGCTAAAAAGGCAAGATCACGAAAGTCAAATCAATAAAAGAGTGATTGCGTGTATAGTTTATGACAAACCAACCATGATAGAAATTGAATGAGTGGATTGATAGGATGGGTAAATGGATATGAAGATGGTGGTAGATTTGTTATCTTTTGTACGATAGAACTTGTTGTTTTATAGTGTGGTATGCTATGACTTGATATGATGACTGAGTGGTTGGGGTTAAACAACTGATTGTCGATCGTTTGGAAGGAAATCGATCAAACTATGTTTGTACAGTTTACATACATACACACTTCACAAGTGTTACACAACATACGATGCAAGATGTTTATCTGGGAAGTTGGGAACGTTCAGTTAACTTGAGCCCCACGCCAAGTTGATATAAACTTGATGCCAAGTACTCTTAAACCTTGGCATCATTAGTCACTTCTTTCATACTTTAATTAGGCTTAGCCTGAGTTGAATATCATGTGTGAATGACCAAATTCCATGATGCCATATCTAGGACAATCAATAAACTCTTGTGTGAGTGTTAGCTGCAGAATTTCCAAGAATTTGATTTTTGGTATCCTATTAAACTTATCCAAGTCCCTTCCGTGCGAGAAGCAGCAAAGGAGAGCAAGGGACTTGGATAAGCTTAGTATCCTGTGCAGCACTGAGTCTTCCAAGAATCTGCACGAGTCACCATCGGGACAGCTCGGAACCCAATATTTCAGAAGACTCAGTCTCGGATTCACAATGATCTCCAATGAGTAGCAATATGTATCCTTGAGAGTCGGTACGGGTATTGACACACGGGAATGGGTCGAAACGGCGTCGGGTAGTGAAAGCACGCGGGCCCAACCTAGACGTCCATCCTCCTCGCGTGATCAACCATATCTCACATACGAAAAAGGATGGACGTCAAGGGTTGAGGAAAAAGATTCCTATAAAGACAACGCCCGTTCCCCATCAAGGAATCTGTTCCCCATCGAAAAGTCAATTCTAAAAAATTTCTCTTCGTGTCTCCGCGGCTTTCTCTCCAAGCCTTGCTATCAACTCCAAAATTCGAAAAACATCATATCTTCATTTTTTCGTTTAGAGAAACGTAGTCTTGCCTTCTTAAGACAATACGTTCAGAGTACATCGCGACATAGATTTAATTGCCATATATAAAGCCTTCAGAGACCCGATTTTTCTTCTTGATTCAAACTTTTTCGTTTTAAGGCTATGATAGCTGAAGCAAATTCGCATAATGATCGTTATAAAGCCATCGATGCGATCCTGGAAAACTACCGTGTCAAAGGCGGCAGCTCCCATGTCAGCATGGTCGAGCTCCGTGACCAAGTGGCACAGGTATACAATCCAAAGGCGCCAGACTTCTTGTACCACTGGTCTGCAGTTGCTAGGGTCGCAATCGCCCTCAATCACAAGCACCGGAGGATCGAATACACACCGTGGATGAGATCCCCCGGAACGCTGACCCCATGGGGAAACCAGCCATCGTCCTCAGCAGGAAGGTTGAAACACCTTTCGAGGTGGAATACTACCGTCCTCCACAAGGATTCATTGGGGAACGAATGCCGGCGGGAGTCAAAACCAAAGACGGATTTCCAGAGGAAATCGAGGATAACTCCATGTTCCCTGCAGGAGTATCACATCACACAAAAACCCCGGCTTCATCGTCACCTCCACCACCGCCCTTCAATCCAAAACTTCCTTCACCAGACCCTCCTCCATCGTCAGGGAAGGGGAAGAACCGGCGCCGACGCCAAAAACGTTCTAGCATTATCTCTACGAAACAAATACCTTCAACCTCAGCTGTGCCCTTGTCCGTTCGAGTTGCGCCGCCTACTCAATCTACAACAGGAACATCAAACCCTCATCCAGTCGCTACCCAGCACAGCGGTAGCTTGTTTGACCGTATGGCTCCTGGGCCATCCGGAGGATTCAAGGAAACTCCACCACCAACCGTTGGAAAATCCAAACGCAGAAGAAACTCTTCTCCTCCGCCTTCTTCATCAGATTCGTCGTCAGACGACGATTTCTCCCCTCCTCCTAATCCAGCACCAGCTGTCTCTGGGGCACCAGCCATCTCTGGGTCGGACGGGGATGACGATGACGGCTTGGCTCCGTTCTTGGCTCACAATGAGCATCTCTCCCCCAAAGCATTTACTCCTCTATCTCGAGAAGTCCAAAAAATCACACTCTTGTATAAATCAAACATCAAAAAATATGTCTCGCTTTTCAATTCCTGTGGCAATAAACCAGGCAACTGGCATAACTCCCTCACAAGAGACCTTCTGGAGTATAATTTTGTGGATCTTCGAAAATTGTATGGCGAAGTTTCATCCTCCACCCCCTCGGAATCCTTCCTTAAGGTTAACAATTCCGGCAAACTCAAGAGTATCGATGGTGCCACACCTAAAGATATCAACGACAACAACCATTGGAAGGACCTCATGGGGGTACTACGACATGCATACATCGCGGCGTATCCCCCAGCGGCAAACTCCATCAAAAAGTACTTCGATTACATTTTCGGGTTGCCGGGACTCTTCCAAGCAAAGGTCAACTGGGAAGATGTTAGAGACTTCGACGTCGAGCTCAGAAAAGAATTTTCATCCAGGCCATGGCTGGTGTGGGGAGACTACACCCACGACAGCTTACGAGGCATCGACAATCGAGTCCTTTACAGTGCAGCCAGCCGATTTTCTCGCTCTCACAGAACCTCAGCTTCAACCCCTTTGGCGCCTCGCATCACTACCGAGCCGGAGAGCTATCAGTCCACTTCGTCACGCCCTGCTCCAGCAAAGAAAACCAAAGGCAAACGAAAGAAACCAAACTATGAGGTCAAACCGGCAAAAAATGTTCCTATTGCTGATCAAATCTGTAACAACTGGAATCTTGGCGTTTGTCCCAACTCGGACCGTGACTGCGAGCGAATCCACAATATCTGCAACAAAGTTGGATGCAATGGCTCTCATCAAGGAAGCCGAGAGCACAAATGAACCAAACGGACGACGCTATCTGCGAGGCCTGGAAATCGACGAACTCTCCGACGGGTTCTCAGCCTCAGTCGAATCATCCTTAAAGGCTGAGCCTTTACCATCCCCACCTTCGCTCTCCTCGGACCCCCTAGCAGCTTACGCCATCGAACGCAGGCCGGACCTGTTCTCCATCAGCTGCCCAATCAACGTAACCAACCTCTCATTTTTACTAACCAACCATCCAAATCGGCCATTTGTCGACTCAGTATTGCAGGGCCTAACCAAAGGCTTCTGGCCAATCTCATCGCTACCCTCCAACGAAACTACCTGCCCTAACAACCACGTGTCCAATAAAGAAGAAGAACAAATTCTTGAAAAGGCATGAGACAAGGAAGTACAACTGGGAAGGTACTCTCCACCCTTCTACACCCTCCTGCCAGGCATGAAAGTGTCCCCATTGTGCCTAGCGACAAACCCAAACTCGGGAAAAATTAGGACATGCACAAACATGTCCTTCGGAAATCCCTCCCCAAACGACCTTATCGACAAAAGCCAAATAAAAATTGATCTTGACTCCATAGCCTCCTTCGTACCGGTTCTAATAATCCATCACAAATCAAATCAAGTTATGATCCTATGGAAATCGGACGTGGACGGGGCGTTCAGAATCCTACCGGTTTCGCGACAATGGCAGTTCCGCCAAATCGTGCGAGTAGGAAAAGCCTTCCATGCAGACAGGAGAGTAAATTTCGGATGCTCCAGCTCACCGAAGCTGTGGTGCTCATTTTTCTCCTTGGTCTTATGGATCGCATCAAAAAAGTTTGGTATTCAAAACTTGAATTCCTATATGGATGATTCGTGGGGCGCAAGCCTCGCATCCGACGTGGTCCTATTCAAAGGCCAAAAAATTCCCCTATAGCAAGCCAAGTTCTTGTCAATCTTTGAATTCCTGGGAATCCCGTGGGCTTGGGAAAAACAACTCTCAGGCCCAGTCCTAGAAATCATCGGACACACAATTAGCTGCAATGACCTATCAATATCACTATCGGAGAAGAAAAGATCAGAGCTAATCCAAGCACTCCGTGCCTTTACGTCAAAAATATCCCATCCTCTGATAGAATGGCAGCGTCTGACAGGTTGGGCCAATTGGGCTCTCAATACCTTTCCGTTAGGAAGATGGTCCTTGCAGTCATCTTGGGACAAGACATCTGGAAAAACAATCAGACGAGCTCATATACCACTCAACCGGACAAACAAGGAAGATCTGACCTGGCTGGCCGACGCTCTGGAAGCATGGGAAGGGCGCCTTGTCTTACAAACCCTTCACTGGCCTCTGCAATCGGCAGATTGCGTGTTCTTCTGCGATGCATGCCCTCACGGCCTCGGAATCTGGAGGCCGGCGGCAGCAAGAGGATGGAGTCACACCCTACCTCCCCCAGCCCGTGACATATATTGGGCCGAGTTGCTGGCAGTCACTCTGGCCATCCAACTTGCTGTCGGGCTTAAAGCAAAAAGAGCCCTGATTTTCACCGACAACCAATCAGTCTCCCACTTATTCAGCTCTCACAAGCCAATACCATCGATACGGATCATCTTCAAATATGCAGTGGACCTCATGCTCAAGAACTCAATCGATGTCAAGGTCCGGCACGTTTCGGCAGACGATAACCAAATAGCCGACGCCATATCTAGAAACAACTCAGACCGGACGAAACTTCTAGCTCCAAACTTGTCAGTTACCAAAATCGAACCCCCTTCATCTTTACTAGTGGGAGGATCAAACAGCCGATTGTTCCTCTCTTTGATCTGAAAGAAGGCCATCCAAAAAGCACCCAAAAACTTTTCATTTCCGCCTAGTCTTCTAAACTCGTTTATTTTCGGCTCGCTGTCTCAAATCCGTTTCCATTCCATTTATTCTCTCTAAAATCCTTTTTCATTCAAATCGCTCCCGCCATCATGGGAAAAACCAAAAGCAGCCGAAAGGCAGCACTGAACTTCTTCGAAAACGAAACGAAAAACGAAGAAGACATCAACAACGCTCTCGATCCAAACACCAAATCAAAATACCAATCAGGGTATCGCCAATTCCAAAAAAATTGCTCCGCATAAGGCTACGCCCTACGCCCGGATGAAACCACCCTCGCTCACTTTGTATCTTCAATATCACGGGTTCTACGACCCTCAACAGTAGGCAAATATCTTACGGGCATAGCCCACGTCATGCGCGCCGAATTTCCCTTCGTGGACTCAGCCCGTGAATCATCGCGAGTCAAACAATCTCTAAAAGGCTGCTATAAAGGATTCTCACTTCCGTCAACCCAAGCGAATGCCATGACACTCCGAGACGTAAAATCGTGCGCGGAATTCTACAACAAAACATTTGACGACGCTTTATTCAACACCATCGTCGCTTTAGGGTTCTCCGGACTACATAGATTGGGAGAACTGACCGTACCAGATTCAATCGCTTTACAAAACAGCCGAAAATCAATCCGAAGATCTTCCCTGGTTTTTTCGCTGTGCGGATCGGTGGCCTGCTACAACCTCCCTTTCCAAAAAGCCGATAACTGCTACTCGGGCGCCTCCGTCTCGATCACTGATAGGCCGAAAGACCCATATTGCCCTGTAAAGACCCTGCTTTACTACACAGTCTGGCGAGATCACTGCTTCCCTTGCGAACCTTTGATGCTAGTCCAAGAAGACGGAACCCAACCAACTCGAACGTGGTTCATCATGCGACTGCAAGCCCTCTTCCAACGCACTCGCACGGGCCACTCCCTGCGAGCAGGAGGAGCAACGGCGTTCGCTCAAAGCGGAATGGAATTGAACACCATACAACAAATCGGCCGTTGGTCATCAAATGCTTTCGAAACATATATCAGAACGCACCCGCTCTTAAATCTCAATAACGCCCAACGTTTCGCCCAGAACGAGGGAATGTCCATAGGAGAGCAGGTCGAGTTTCCAGGAGCCGCTCTCGTAAGCAGCCCGATACTCCCTGCGACCCTACCATAGCCTCGGCTAACAAAGTCAATAGTCACTGACAATCTTCTTCATTACATGTCTTCCTGTTTCACAGCCGTGGACCAGCGATAAAGCTGTAACCCGTAGCGACCATCGCAGTCGCCGGCAGCATAAGGTGAGTTATCTACAATAACCGTACCACACCTCTTATCTGACAAAGTACCCGTCCTAGGTATCTTTCATAGGGCGTGATCATCGGTCCCCTAACGGAAAGCGTTGATCTAGCAATCACCATCCAAGGTACGGAAAGTCTACGACTTCCTCACTCACATTCGAGAGTACCTCTAACACAAATCAACGGATGTACATCCTGATTGCCACCAACAGAAAACGTTCGGAAGTTCTCCACCACTCAACCATTCAATGGTTTCGACATCACCACTCTTCAAATACCATCACCAACTCTCCTCCCTACGAGGGTGGTTGAACTCAAGATCCTCATGTTTTCTGCTCCGGCTATCTCCAGATTTTCACGCTTTTTTCTCTTTTTCAGTCTTACTATGCGGCCTTCTCTTTCTCTCAATGCACGCTAATAGACTTGCCACACGGCAGTACAAGCGTAAAAACCCAAGTTGCCATAGCAAACTGAGCCAGACCCATTCCTGAGAGTCGGTACGGGTATTGACACACGGGAATGGGTCGAAACGGCGTCGGGTAGTGAAAGCACGCGGGCCCAACCTAGACGTCCATCCTCCTCGCGTGATCAACCATATCTCACATACGAAAAAGGATGGACGTCAAGGGTTGAGGAAAAAGATTCCTATAAAGACAACGCCCGTTCCCCATCAAGGAATCTGTTCCCCATCGAAAAGTCAATTCTAAAAAATTTCTCTTCGTGTCTCCGCGGCTTTCTCTCCAAGCCTTGCTATCAACTCCAAAATTCGAAAAACATCATATCTTCATTTTTTCATTTACCTCCCACCCGCCCTGGCAAACTTGTTCCTGGCACGTCAAAAGAATTTTTTTTTTCTCTAACTAGATAGCTCACACCGAGAAATTGTAATCTTCCTATTCATCAAAAATGCTTCTACTCTTTTTTGTGTTCTTTTTTCTTCCTCCTTTCAAAAAAGCCGCAAACGGCTCACTTACGTTGTAAAATAGCTGAGTAACCACCCGCAGAACTCAAGATCCTCATGTTTTCTGCTCCGGCTATCTCCAGATTTTCACGCTTTTTTCTCCTTTTCAGTCTTACTATGCGGCCTTCTCTTTCTCTCAATGCACGCTAATAGACTTGCCACACGGCAGTACAAGCGTAAAAACCCAAGTTGCCATAGCAAACTGAGCCAGACCCATTCCCATATATCTATATATCTGCTCCCAACAAGAATATTCAGTTACTCACCTATGCTATTCTTTTCACCTAGGGTTTTCATTGATTCAAGAAACACCTCAATATTGTAAGATTTATTGCACCCACTCTATGGCCAGCATATATTTCTACACCATATCTCAACTGTAGCAAATACTGCTACATACTTAATTTGATTGTCCACAGGGAGCCCTATTTTGGGCCAAACTCAACACTCCCTAGGTCCAAGCAAAATTGCAGTTATGCCACAAGAATACAGAAGCAGGTAACTACCATATGAAATGTGCCAATGTATATGACTTCATTGAAAAATACCAGACCACAGGCAAAGCAGTGTTGTATTGTTGTAGTGTCTGTCAGTTATGACTTGCAGTACCATAGGCACTGTGCAAGACAACCAGATCTCACAACTGTTAAATCTTGCAGAACTTGTCATGTGGTGGTACATGTAACATATGCAGCTGAGCATCCTGTTGAATCACATTCATGTCACAGTGAGGATTTCATATAGAGCACATTACATAAGAAACAGTGAGGTAAAATGTACAATATCAGAATCACAATTTGGAACTTGTAGACAATCAGGTTTATGAAAACTGTGCACATGAAAGTTTTTATTTCTAAAACATAAAGAATTTGGTGTTTGCTCATTGGTTGGTTTTTACAAAAATCATTTCCTTGTCTTTGGTACACCTTCCTTGTCTTGAATCAAAAGATCACCTAGCAAGAAGCCTTATTCATTGAGTTTGAAAGGGACAAGATGACAACAATCCATTGGTACATTTTTCTGCTGTCAATGTTTCAATCAACTTTCTGCCATCTTGGGAGCATTGGAAGAAATCCATTTCTAAAATCAGGTGAGTAATGATTGACATACTTGGCAATGAACTTCATGAAACTTCCACCCACAAATTAAATGTGTAGATTTAACTTGGAAGTCATCTATAGACTGGGAGGATTTCACCAAGAAAATCAGTCCCCTAAAAAAACTAAAACAATCACAACATGACACTATCATTGCGTTTTGGAAAAGAAGTATGTCACCCTTGAAAGTCCTGGCAGTTAGACCACACCTTCAATCAATTTAATGCAGACACATCTCACCAGGTGATACAGACATACCCAAGGATTTGCATGACCTTCTGGTTTACTACCCATCCTTGATAGCAAAGACAAATGACCTTATCATATCAAAAAATGAAAGATGGGCTGGTAAAATGACCACAATCCTTCAAGCTGTTAAGCCAATGTTCCTCAAGTACAACGGTGGACCTTGCAAGGTTATACATCAACTTCTTACATTGGAGAAGATACCATTTAATGTATTGCAACGAATTCATCACTGGTTACTGGAGATTTATGTTGAAATTACTCATGTTGATTCACCTCGTGCAGCTCAATTGAGGGAGAAGATTGAGGGATTTATCAAAATTTCTCAAGGTAAGTACATGGATTACATAAGCAGCCTTGGTCATGGAGAGTAAGTCAGATTTTTCAGAAATGCAACAAGGATATCTCTGACTATCTCATTTCATCAAATTCTTAAAATCACAGAATACTCAAGGATTTCCAGAGCACCCAGAAAAGACTGGGAGGTATATTTCTGGCTGGTGATTGGTCTTCAACAAATCAAAGGGAACTTGCTGAGTTCTGGATGCCTTGTGAGTCGTACAATGTTTTTGCTTGTTACACTATTTTAACTCTTTCAATGGGATTCCCCGGGCCCCATGAAGATAGAAGGGAACTTTACAACCAGGTGAAACACCAGCCAGAGTTACAACTTGTTTTGGAAACTCAGTATTTGCAGACAAGGCTTATTCGGCTGAAGCACATTGGCAGATATGCCCATGAGGTAGGACGCCAAGTATTGGCCCATTCTCGTTCTGATTTGTTGGAAAAGTCCGAGACTGTTGTCAATTACATCAAATCGCTGAAATGTGATGTGTAAGGTTTTTTATATTGAGTCAACTTGATGGGTTTTCAAGTTGCTTAAAGTTTTGAAATGAACAGGAATATTGGTCAGTTTATCAGAACACAAAATTACATCTCTCCATATGGATTAGAAATTGACAACAGAACAGATGTGGATCAAATGAAAGTCATCCAATTTTGGGCAACTCGTGAGCCTGTTTCATTTGAAGTAAATTTTAAAATTTAGAAAGCTAATGTGTGTGTTTGTGTGTTTGGTGGAAGATGTGGATATATTCCTGCTCATCAACAAACTTGAAGACACCAAACCTCTTCAAACAATCATAGAGGATTTTGTGGTGAAGGACTTTGATGAGGTTTCACACAAAATGAGGGAGTTCCTCAAAACAGTTCCTATTTGTACTGCCAGGAACACTGCCCTAGCCCAATTTCTCAAGTTTTATTCAATCAACACCCAATCTACAGAGACAAAGGAAGTTGCTGAGAAGGCTTTGGACGAGTTTGTGAAAAAATCAGTTGCTAAGGAGGCTCAAGATCAGCCTGTGAATAATGAAGTTCTTGAGGAGTTGCCAGATCAGTCTGTGGATACCCATGAAGTTCCTGAGGAGTTGCAAGATCATTTTGTCAACAATGAAAGAGCTGATGGGGCAAATGATCAGTCTGCAAAGAACCAAGTTGCTGAGAAAGCTCTATCTCACCCCAGGAAACAACTCAAACTGCATGCAATCTACAGGTGTTTTGGGGGCAACTGAAAAAACTCTTGAAGATTGTTGAATATTTATGGAATCTAAGACATACTGGGTAACATGATTCACTATTATCACAGAGGGAGCCACCTGTGCGCCTCAGATCCTTCGGCACTTAGCCGACCATACAGATGTACTGTACGGTCGGCTACGAGCCCCAATGGTATACGCAGACGTCTGCAGACTCAGCAGATGTTCCACTTCTAGCACTCCTAGAAGAAAACCGCTCTAGTATCCTCTATTTCAGCTAAAAACAGTACATTTCCTCAAGTTTTGTGCCTTTAACGCTGCAGGATGACTAATGCCGTTTACATCATCTTTCAACGGTCTGAAAGTACATGGTGCAGACAGATCTGCATCTGTATAGTTGAATTACAGACACATCTTACACTACACCGACACAACTACACAGATCTGTCTGCATCGCTCCAGACAGATCTGGCCCTCTCAGCCTGCCAAGTCAAAGAACGCAGACAGATCTGCGTCTTTATACAGACGGATCTGGCACTCTAAGAAACAACCAGATGGATCTGGGCCACAGATCGGTTCCCCACATTACTGGACAGACTCATCTGCACATTCAGATGGATCTGCTCCTTCCACCTCACAAGTCTTTGATACCCAAAACCTACAGATCGATCTGGTCTTCAGGTCATTCTAGACTCACTGAGAACTCCTCCATTGGCTCTGCTCACCCACGCTAACGCTATGTCCAAATCAATCTCTGTTCTCACGTATGTTCGCTCACTCATTTCAAAGGATCCTGAGTATCTCACAAGGAATTGATATCAATATCAGAGCGATGTAGTTACTATGTACGTATGTACCAAATAAAGAGATGAACCATTGATTGAAAAAAGAGAATGACCAAAATGAAAAGGAATGAACAAAAAAAACAGGAAGTTTTGAATGGATCAGTCAAAATCAGAAACAATACGGTATAGCTAGACCTAGCTAGACCACTATCCATTCCAATCCTACATCGTTCATGACATCAAAGAGATTTCCTCGGTAGCCCTCTTCATCATCACCCACAGGGAACCGATGTTCCTCTAGATCTTCATCGTCTACACCTTCCGTCAAAACTGGAAAGCAATAATTCTCCCACCTTGCTCGATTTTTTCCAATTAGAGCTATCCAGCGAGTCTTTAAGATAGAATTTGATTCTACAGGCTGATCGCAATAGTTTTCTGACTTGTCAAGCATATTCTGAATGTCCACATCCCAGACCATCCATCTTCGGCAGTAATCAAGAGAGATCTCCTGGTGCAAAGCTTTCAAAACCTCTTGGCTTTGATTCCAAGCTTTTTCCGAAAGAATGCCACCCTTCTGAACTAACTCTACTGGCCGAGTTCCGTTCGGAAATCCAGGGATCCAAGCTTAAGCATTTTGAGGGGACCAAGTCATTGCTCAATCTCAAAATATACAGATCCAGTGAGCCTTGATTGCTTACGCATTTCAGCAGTGATCTTGAGATTCTCCAGCTTCTCTTCCAACCGAATAGAATCGAACACAGTATTCCTGACTTCACGTGAAATCCGACGAACTTCCTCATTGCAACTTCGCCACCTGCGGTACAATTGAATCCCACGCTGAGTCAGCATGAGCCCCGCTCGCTCGGGAGCGGGGACCGGCGAAAATCCACCCCGAGCACTTTTTGGAAATGCATCCCGGCTTCCGAGCCGACCCCTCCCCGTCGGGGATCTTCATGTACGTCTTCAGACCGTCCCCCGCCACCAAAAATCGGGGGCCTACCGAAATATCGGTTCCCCGTCGGTTCCCCGTCGAGTGTTAGTCAGTAGAGCTTGCTAGATCAAAAAAATTCATAAATCTGCTTCACGAGCAAGTTCCGGCTGATATTCTACTGTTTCGTACAGGTATTTCATTGTATTTGATTCCTTATACTGATGTATGAGTTGTTACGAGGCCTTCCTCACCTTTCATTTCTCTCTATCTGCCCTCGATTCTACAGCTCTCTGCTATAGCTCGGTTCCCCGATAAAAACCGGGGATCCTCATACTCTTGCCCGGTCCCCGCTCCGTCGGAGTCGGTACGGTGCCGGGGGGCTGAGATACCTAGCCCGAGGCACCGTACCGACGGTACGGAAGCCGGAGATCCCCGAGCCCGCGGGAAACGGGGCTCATGCTGAACGCTGAGTGGTCACATCTGTAGCCCATAGCTCGTCAGGATGGGTTAAGTGACCGATGTTCCAAAATGGGTCTTCGAGGCTGAAGTGTGAGATCTCTTCAAAAGTCGGAAGCTGTAATGCTTCCTCATCTGGAAACCGTGTGTGAAACTGCTTTATGTGAAAGTCATAAGTTGTCCACTTAGTTTTCAAGTTGCTCTGTTTTTTGACCATTGCAGTCTTATATCGCTCTTGATCTGTAGTGCCTGTCAATCCAAAAAAAAAAACATGAATTTTTAAATGTAAGGTTGAGCTTTAGAGGTCACTAACCGATACCAGGCTGATCCCACTTCTTTCGATGCTCAATGACTCCCACTTTAGCTTCGTACAGATTTTGTTTTGCCAAGCGAATTCGAAAACGCGCTCGTGCACATGGGTCTGAGGTTTGAAGAGTGTGTGAGTTTGGTGTGTGAGTTTGCAGTGAAAAAACTTCCAGTACAGTGCAGTGTGATCCACGCACGCCTAACCTCAGCCATGTCCCGAAACTCCTCTCCCCCCAATTCAGCAACGATGTCGTCGATTGCATGCTCAAAAGCCACAACCGAAGCTGGTAAAGCAGCCAGCTCAGCATGTTCAGCTTCTGACAATGTGCGCCGCCGCTGTCCTCGTAGGAAAGCAAGTCGAGCGCTGTATTGAAAAATCCGAAAACATGATACTTGTGTATCAGTGTGTTGGGAACGGATAGGAACAGATGACAAATATTTGAACACACTGGGCCTCTCGAAAATTCTCCTCAAGTTCAATTAGCCGGCCTAATCGATTTTCAAGCTGTTGAATGTTAGTGATCGCCATCAATTGAAGCTGGCAAGTACGCTGCCTTTCCCACTGTTGTGCAAAGTATTCGACGTTAAGTTGGTGAGATGCTTCTAGTTTGGTAAGTTTTGCTTGTGTTTCACGCTTATCCCTCAAAACCTCATCGAATTTCTTAGACATCAGGCAAGCTGTCATATAGAACATGATGAGCTTTTGAGGTGTATTACACAACAGAGTAATCACATACCCGCATTTGTGAGACCAAGACTGTTTTTATGACCGGCTCGCAAGTGCAATGCGTCAGCTCGGGTTTGTTTGGTAGCAAATCGAAGCTGAGAAACAAGGAATGATTGGAACGACCAGTTCCTTTCGCACCCTTCGCCATCTGATAAACCCCAACCAAGGTTGAGTCGGGGATTGTATTCAAGCTGACAGCCCCACCGATGGACAGAAGCGTGGAAAGCGCTGGTACCAAACTTGAATTGAGCATTGGCACGCTCATCAACAAAGAGATTGTGCTGTGTATAGTCCAGATGAAAATTGTCATCTTCTGGCAGTCTCATTCAGCAAATACACGAGAGTCTCACCCTCTTGATACCCTTTTCCAGGGTGCAACCAATGTCATACAATACCCCAAAGCGCCACAGAGGCTGATCTGGCTCTTTTGTACAATCTACTATAGAGCCTAGCAAGGCATGTGCAAAGTAAGACCTGGAATCAAAATATAGATCATGTCAGATTGATACCGGCCGATTGTGCCACTTCTATTTGTCACATACTTCTCGCCGCTCCTCACAATATTGATGTATGACAGACATTGGTCATGCCTACATATCAATGCCATCAAACCAGTTTCGTCGCATGCTCGCCACGTTTGGCCAGTTCGGGTGTCTGCAGCAGCAGTGTGCTGCTGGGTGTACGGATCCTGTTTGAAAAACAATGTTAGTGCTCTAATGTACAACAAAAAGCTCTACACATTTGATATCAAGTGGACGCACTACATGTTCATCTACCTGTCCCCTGGCAGCGGCTCGGTCAGCCCACAGTTGAACATATTCGTCGCTGAGAAACAAGGAAGGCATTTTTGGTGCGATATCATTTGATTCTCGACTTGCAGCCGCATGTCTTCTTTGCTGAAAGTTCGCATCCATGCACACTATCGAATCAGGCTCTGCTTCTCGTTTGGATCGTTCGCCGGGTCCAAAGCAGCGTGGACAGATGCTTGCCAGTGATTCAATCGGTTTCATTTCAAGTGCTTGCGTTTTCAACTCCTCATGCATCTTCAAAAGTTGTCTGTAGGCGTGAACAGCGCAAGATAGAGGTTTTCTCCATCGTCGAGGCTGTGTTGGGGATAAGTATAAGAGAAATGGATAGAAAACAAAATTAAATAATCAAAACAAACTCAAAATTGGTTCATCAAAACAAAATCGAAATTGATTAAACGATTCGTAAAAAACTTGGACACACCTGGTTTGTACCTTTAACCATTATCACAGCACTAAAGGCATCTAATATTTCGTCAATGGCCAAAGCAAAGGGCTGGATTCCGATTGGTTTGTATTTCCATAAGATGTGGTACGCTCGCAGTAATCTGAGAGAGAAGGCTGTTCAAGGGTGGGTTGGGGAGCCTCCGAGATAACCCTGGGCAATAAGTCGAACCTGATCAGGTGTACAACTACAAAATTCTATCTCCCTCTGTTCGCGACCTGATATATTTGGTTGGTCATGTAAGCAATGAAATGATGAAATGTGATCAAAAGTGAGGTATTGATTACCACAAAGGTCCACTAGATCCACTTGGCGCTTGACTTTAGTACTCCCCGGACAGTAACACGATTCATTTTCAAAATGATTCCGATCCCAATTTGCTTTGTGCCCCCATTGAGAAGTCAGGCTTGAGCATCGCATCCAGGTGATGAACATCGAACGCATGTTTCGCTCCCAAGCACGTTCCTCTCTTACTCTTTGTCTCGAGTAAGCAGGGGCTGCTACAAACTCACCCATGTTACGTGCATGTTGATTGTCTTCTTGAGGGACCTTGTCTTCTCTTTTGTTGGTGATATTTACG